GTATTAGATACACTTTGAAATACCAGGTGTCTCACAGTGACTAAAGAAGATGAATGGAAAGTGTTAGTATCTGTGCATCTCTTTCTTAGTTTATCACCTGTAAACTGTTAATGCAGTGTTACCTGGCTGCAGTTCTGTGAAATCAATTGATTACAAAGTAAACAGGTGGTATAGAAAACTCTTGAGGGAAGAAAAGATAATATAGTAAGCAATGAATAAGGCTTTTGAGGTATTTTTAAAACTAGGATTAAAAAAAAGGTCAAAATACTTTTTTTACCTAATATTCAGTATAAAATCAGGCTTTTTACAGGGCTGTAGTCTGGAAGCATTTTTTGATTTATTGTGTACCGTAAGTTCGACATTGTGATATATTTCTGATCCTGAATTAATGTGAGTTCTGTTTAAGAAAAGCTGATTGTTCTTTTTTCCCTGTTTTTTTAAATGTTTGGTTCTAAGAAAATATTAAAGATTTAGAGTTCAAAGACTTCGTTTTTTCATTCTATATGGGGAGTATTTTATATATTACTATGCATGTTGCTATACACTTTACAATATAAAGTAACATTATGCATGTTACTATATATTTTTATGTATTTTACTTTTTTTTAAATTAAAGCCATTGCAATTTAAATTCTAGTAGCTCTGCTGCTTTTCTGGTTTTATTCTGTAAACCTGAAAGAAAGAGGAAGGTAGTGTGCCTGCCATTCTACAGAAATTAAATCAGACCAGAGAAAACAGTATCAACACTTCGCTGTTCACTAAAGCTTTGTGCGTTCAGTGGAAGATGTATAATCTGTGACAAACTGTTACTCTAGAAAGGAAAAAATACAAAATTTTATTTTCAGAAACTCAAATGCTGACTTCTAGAGCACCGAGCAAGAATTTAATGTTTACATTATGATGGCTTTCCTTCTTCAAGGCATTTGGGTTTTGTTTGACTGCTAGTGAGCGTACAGGAAGAAGGGAGTTTTAACCTGTATGTCCACAGCTAACCCTGTCCTCAGTGCGGATAGACTGGGAAATTTTGCCTAGTAATTTTTTTAACAGCAGTGAATTTCAGAAATGGGCCAGAGTCACGCAGTCCTAGAAGAAGTCTGTATAAACACAGAAGATGAAAATGATCTCATTCTGAAATAGTTTAAGTTTAAAGTACAAAGCTGAAAACAGGGAACACAGATAGACTGATGAGGAAACTGCTGTATTGGAATCTGTTGTTACAACAGGTTTGTATATTGATGTAAAAGTCATAAAATCACTTTTCTCCCACAAAGTTTATTTTTGTTACAGAGGAACTCTTGCAGCCTTAACTGTAGTAGTCCCTTCTTTTAAGAAATGCGTGCAATGTAATTTACTTGGTCAAGGGAAGGTAGAAAAACATTTCAGCCCCCAGACATTTTGGGTTTTGGGGTGAAGTGTCCTCTTTTCTTCTTCCTCCTGTAAGAAGGAATGAAAGAGGGGGAAAATCATTCTTATTCTAAGGCTGCAGTTTACTGTAACTACATTTCAGAACATGTTTCTGACTGAGTTACAAGCTTCGGTCAGAGGTATCTGTTACAATTAAAGTTGCCCTGTAGGTAAATTGTTTAGTTTAGGTGAATAAATGATGCTTAGTTGTAGTTCAAAGGCTAGGACTAATTCATTGTACACTGGGATTCTTGCAGGGGTTGAAAAAAGCTCTTTCTCTGGGAGATCTCCTGAATCGGTTTCCTGTGCTTCTGTTCTAACTTGGTCCGTCGTTCACGAGCCGCTTTTGGAGCAGAGCGCACAATGCATGGACTGTTATCAAATGCAAAATCTGACCACGTGCGAATGCGCAAATAAAGTGAGAAATGTTTGTGGCATGATTGCAGTATTTACCATTCTTTTTTCTACTGCCAGAGATAACAAGTGGGAATAACCGATTTTTGTTTCAGCTGTTGCTCTGAAAAACTGGGGAGCAAATTGCTTGAGGTCGAATGAAGCAGTTTATTATTCTGCTTTACAGAAGAATATACATTTCTCTATTTTCAAGTGATCTTTTGTTTCATTTTTAATTATCACACTGAGGTCAATTTGTTTTCCTTTTCATGGGGAGACGGGGACAGCATGCATTTGTGACAGGGTTTGGTGAATAAACTATTCATGGGCAGAATTTTTCACTGCTCTATGGTTAAGTATCACTGTTCAGGCTCTCTATTGCTAGCCTGAACTGTACATTACATCTCTCACAACAACATGCTAAATGATTTATTTTGAAAGATCAGAAGCACTTGGTTTGGGTTAGTGGAAAGAAATGTGAGCCGCGACAGAGGCAGTGCTCCCGACAGGGTCTCCCCTTGTTCTGGGGAGTGGGATATTTGAGAGAAGACTCAGCGTGGCTCCACGGGAGTACAATGTGAGGAAGGAGAACCTGGTGCAACTGAGAAGCACTGGTATTTGAAGGCTACCAGCTTTTAATTTGTTTGTGTGCGAGTGCTTGACTCCAATGGACTTGTGCTTTAAGTTCAGGAGTTATGAAAAATTGAATTTTAGGTGGGACTCTGTACCTGTGTACAGAAAAAGCTCACTTACAGAAGTATTGTATAGAAATAATCTGAACCATTTTCCAATATGAGTAGTAGATTTATACTGTTCTTACACTAACTAATACTGGATTCAGGTTTTTTTCAGCACTTTGTAAAAATGGCTGAGTGATACTTTGAGAATCAAGAGTTCAGATTTTGTTGCCACTTATACAGTAAAACCACTTTAATAGGCAGGTTTCAGTGTAACGATCAGGATGAGTGGAACTAGTTCATGATTGTTACTGTGAATCCACTATTGTTAGGAATTAGGTTCATTAAATATATACTTTTTACCGCTTTCTGCCAAAGGAGAAAGTGAAGACTTTGTGCCTTGACTGGCTAATTTTCAGCGACAGTAAGAGCTACGGTACTGCAAAACGAACTGGCACGTCAGGCCTGTATTTTCGGTAACGTGCCATCTGACTCTACAGCATGCTTTGCTTGAAGCAGTGGCACAAGAAACATGCAAGCAATCCAGCAGGGACTTTGCCATTTAACTCTTTTACAAGCTTTTCAATGAATTAATTTTTTTCTCTGCTTCAGTACAGCTTGAAGCCATCAGCAAAGCATTTTCAAGCTACTTAGCTGGCATATAGTGCATGACCATTCAGGGTTAATCTATAACAGCAAAGAGCATCAGAGTGTTTTTCTTGTTGCATGTTTGCAATTTCTTTCTTTGCCTTTAACAAGGAAGCTGCAGTTTCAAATCTTAAGTTCTTTTTCTTAAGTGGAACCTTATCAGTTTGTGCTGCGTCTTTGAGCATTGGAAGAACAACTAGAGCTTCAATTTTCCCTCTCCTGTTTTGAACCAATTCAATAGCCCTTCTGGGTCCATTTCATAATTGTGCTACAGGACAGTATCCCACAGACCTGCACATTTCTCAGTCTTTCCCATGACACATTCATTTGTACCTGTTGAAAGAAACATTAAAGCTAGCTTTCTGGTCCTTATTCCCACTTTGGACGTATGTTGTTTCACCAGATACATGGCAGTGGAAAAGTTGGGTCAGCAGCAGTGATGTGGGATTTGACCTTGGACATAAGAGCAGACCAACGAGATTCCTGAGAGTGGTTGTGTCATAATCACATTAAGAGACTTTTTAGATACTCTAGGTCTGCAGTTAATTGCAGCAGTTGCAGGGAACTGGTTCACAAATAGCTTTTTTTAGGCTTCAGAGCTATTAGTGTTATGACAAAGAAAGGCCAAAGGTGATTTCTTTTTTGCGTCTATAAAAAATCCTGTCAAGATTTCCTACCCACTCAGTAATGAAGAGCTGCTCTAGCGCACTCACCTATGCCCAAGAATCTATACAGATGCCTCACCTGTCCTCACAGCTGATTGTGGTCATAAAGCCTTATAAAATCTGTTAAAATTGGAGCTGTGTATTTAAAATGTGTTAACTTCAACACTGGCAGGTATATGCTGTACACTTTCAAATAATTAAGATTATATCCTCTCATTAATAGTTAAATGTTCAGTAAATCCGTGCAGCACCTTAATAAACTGTTCATTGTGCCACAAAATCTGAATCTAAGCTCCCCATTTGAACAGGCAACCAAATTCAGACACCACATCCAAACCCATAAAATCATAGTTCCCAGCCTAAACAATTAAATCTGCAAAATGGAGCAGTGCAATTTTTTTTTTTTCTTCCCCTACATAAAATTCATCCAACCTGACAAATCTCTCCGAGGAGAAGAGAGATTTTCTTGGCAGGGACCTAACACTTCAATTAGTATTTAAATATTTGTACTTAAATATTAGTACTTAAATACCCAAAAAGGTATTTAAGAGATCTAGTTGAATAAAATGTATTAACCGTTAATGTAATAAAGCATATTAAAGTATTGCAGACTTTCTGGTTACTCCTTTGTGTGGCAGGAATGACTAGGGGTGACATGAATGCAGTCTTGTCTTTGCTTGACCTCCTGGGTGGAGCCAGGTGTGTTGTCTTTGCAAAAGATGCCAGTAAAGGGATTATGATTTATACACACTGGTCTTCTAGGAACTTAGCTGAAATCTTCCTTGTTGATTTTGAAGGTCGTTCTTCTGTTGCTCTTCAAAAAATGGGATGAGAATTGCGTTAATAAAGATGCTAAGTGTCGCTAGAATATGAGTATGTGATCTCCCAGTGAATAACCACTTCTTCTCTACTTCTGGAGAGCAAAAATATCTGTCTGTCTGGAGTTCCTTGATCATCTTTGAATTTCCCATATTGCAAAGCTTTCTTATTACTGGGGGTTGGGTTTTTTTTTCTTTGCCTTGAGCTAATTTTCTGTTCCAGTTGAAAATGTCATTAGAAGTAACAAATGTTTCTTTGTTTTTTTGTGTTCTTTTTCATCCCATACAGCGTGAAAGGAGCAGATGCTGGCAACGTGATCAGACTATTTGTACCAGATATTGGGATGTTCATTGCTAGTCTGACAGTATGGCTCATCTGCCGCAACATGTTTCAGAAGCCAGTAACCGAGGATGCAGCACAGTGCAACATGCAATTTGAAAATGAGGAAATGGTATCAACTAATACACGTTTCTATCTGTATGGCTTTTAGCTAATAGTGAGCTTTGCCATTCCTGTCTGAGATGTGTTCTGAAACGGTTTCACGAGGACTGGGTATGTTAAGAGGTGAACTTACTTTCAGGAAACTAAACAGTTGTTTTGTAAGTGGAAAAGCTACAGTTGTTACTGTCTTGAGAAAACAAAGCAGAATATGAAAAGTGGTGTATGTTTTGAGTTAAGAAATGATCATGACCGTCAATCACAAGTTGTTTCTTCACCAGAGCTGGTTAAGTCTGACAAGGTTGTTTTGCTACATACGTTGCTCAGTTTCTTAGATAGCATCCGTATTTCCAAACTTGTTATCCAAGAATAACAGCAGCATCTGGGTGATTATCAAAAGTGACTCTTAGGAGAAGGGAAGAGAAACTGTGACTTACGCTTGTGGAAGAGGTTATCTAAAACAGTGGTCATAATGAGTGAGCTTGGGGGTAATTTTGGGGAATGGCTTAGCTGGAAGTGTTGGTGTGTTTGCTGTGTATTTTACTAGTGGGAAGAAGAATGGCAGAGATACCGAATGCAAAAAACTCCACAGAAAGAGGGAAACAATTTTATAATATGGAAAGCCGCAGTGGGAATTTAGCCCAGGGTGCAGAGAAATTCCGACTACTAATCTTAACATGTTTTTTATCAGACTGTCTAGCGTGCCTTGGGTCTCATTTTCTGTCTTCTTTTACGTATGGGTGGAATGTTTTTTTTTTTTATTCTCAAAACTCTGTTTTTAGGGCAGACAGTTGCAACTTGCTCATTTCAAACAGAAATTGCACTTTGAAGTGGGTAAAGTATTGAGGGAGATCAGCTGCCCATTTTGGTGTCACTATAGAGAGGGAAAAAAGTCTCTCTGTGTGTCGCCATGTTGTCTGGATTGTGGTATTGCCAGAAACTGCTTGAGTTTCTAGCCTGTGAGAGATCAGTATCAGGCCTGTGCTTTACTCGGTTGCCTTTGTAACTCTTACGGGTCTCCTGGCAGTTGAGGATTGCCTGAAGACTGCTGCTCTTAAGGACACGTTGGAGGATACGTAGGAATCGGTCTGATGAGGGTACACAAGGTTTTGCTTTGCTGTGTCTCCTGGAAGCCTGTTTTATCAGCTTTAAATCTGCTTTATCATTGGTGCTGTGCAAAATGGATTTAGAGCAGGCTAGAATCTACGGCGATACACACAAGGGGAGATATCTGAAGTATTAAGAGTTGTGACTAATTGGCATGTTTTGTGTCCTTAACAGTTGCATTTACCAACACAGGCTCTAACAGACTTCTTTGAAGCCCTTGATATCCTGGAAAGAAAGCACGCACATTCGTATAACAGGAGTAAGCTGATGGCAGAAGCTCAGAACCAAAACAAAAGGGCATGCTTAGGTTCCTTGAATCTGGATAATGATGTTCAGATACCCACTTCTTGTTTGGTTCAGAGGTGAGCCTGAGTCTGGAGTCTGAGTGGAAGGGAGCTCGGAAGGGAGCTGGAGAGGATGAGTGCTGGCCTCCAGGCAGGGCTCAGTAGTCGTTTGCCTGGAATGCAAGGAGAAAAACCGAACTAACAAACACTGATTACATAGCACAGAGTATACCTTTAAATTGGGTTGGTCCTAGACTGGCTACCTCAAGGCAATCCACCAATGCAACTAAGTGAGCCAGAATATTCCACAAGGAATAGTGTTGGGGAGTACGAAGAGAAAATTGTGACTGCGAAGAAATATTGATACTGGGTAAATAGAAATCTGTGTAAATATATTTTAGTTCTTCACATCAAAACCAAGTGAGTATTATTTATGTTCTGTAAACTGCATGTATTACAGGATATTTAGTGAACGCAGCAGCTGTGTTTAGATTTAGTGACACCCAAAGCTCTTATGACATGCATTTCGTTAAAAAGGGATAATAGTTACTGTGGTGTCTGGTGATCCCCAATGCTTTAAGGAATTCTGATATTCACAGCTGAAATGATGAATCTTCATCAGAATAACCTGCTTGTTTTTTTTAAAGACGGAGTGAGATGGAGAGTGGAAAATTAAATACCTATTAAATACATTTTTCCAAACTTCAGCTTTCTCTTTCTAGGTGTCTGCACATAACATCCTGGAATAATTTCTGCTGGTTAGGAGGAGGCTGCAGAAGCAGCTGAATCTGCTAGGAATATGTATTTGGCAGAACTGACTCTAAGGAACCTAATGCATATGCAGAGCATGCAGCTGAGTGTCTGAATTTGAGAGAATATTGGCATGATCTAAAATGAGTCCAAACTGTGGGTTTCACGTGATAATTTTCAGTTCTTCCTTGGTAGAGTACACTGGAAAACGGAGAGCTAAGTAAGTGATTATTTCTTTGAATTCGGCATTAGCGGACTGATGCCTGTGGCTCCCTGTTGGTGCAGCTCTCTCCTGATGCTGTAACTCCATTGACTTAGAAAACGCGAAATGAGTTGCAGCAATAACTACCCTACAAACAAATGCGAAGTGTTGAGCTTGGTACTGTGCCTCCAAGGGAAATAGTCCTGGGTTTATTAGACCGGTCCCACAGCCAAATCCAGAGCTGAAGAGCTTTTGCTGAGAGTGCCTGCCACCAACCATTAGAGATTTGTGGAACGAGATTATGTTAAGAATGCATCAGGTGATTCAAACAGACTCAACAGAGCCATGAGAGAGTTGACTTTTCAGATTGGTAGATGCCTAGCCACAGTTGGCTCTAGAAATCAGGAAATCGGCACTGTGACTTCCGGGCAAAAGCAGAGACTTTGTCTTGCAGCTTTACCTTTTTACATTAAATTATTTGAATTGAGTGATTCTCAGACCTCTTTGCTTTGGGGGAGAGTGAAATACTATGGATATAGGCTTTATCAAAAAAGAAAGGTTAATCTATCCACTTCTTCCAAAATACATGTATAAGAAAACCTGTTAAATTATTGGTTTAATACTTCTAAAAGTGACCTTTTCAAAGCTCTCTGTAAATCCATCACATTTCAGTTGTTAAACGGGCATGCTGAAAAAATTCTGGAGTTGAGTAGCCATTTGTGTACTCAGTTGTGTGCTCTACTACGGCATGGCAGTAGCCTCCAGAAACCAGCTGTAGAGTGCAATGGATCAGATTGCTCATGGATTGAGATGCAAATCAAAGTAAGAAAAAGTATCAGAATCCAGATTAAGGACAGCAAGGATTCATTGAAAAATGGAGGTCCTTCTTAATTATTGATTACACTGCATCCAACTTTAAAGGGAAGGAGTTTGTTGTCAGAAAAGTGTTTTCTACAGAAGAGAGCTGGGGGGAGGAGGCTATGAGGCAGTAAGAGACTCTCAATTATTCGTAAGTAACGCTATCCCAGTAATAAGCAAAGAGTGTGGTTTTAATTAACAGTGAGTCATGAAGTAGGAAGGTCTGCCAGATACCAGGCTGCAGTCCAACTCATTACCACCCCTAAATGGTTGCACACTTGGAGCAAACGTGTCTGCAAGCTTTTTTTATTAGGGCTCAGAAAATTTAAAGCAGGTGAATTCAACTGGAGACAGGCCCAGATTGCAAATGCCGAGAAGCACAATGCCAGTGACAAGGTGTAAAAGGTGGAAGAAAATAAGAAAGAACAGTTAACTCCCAGCTGCGGCCGAAAGTACGACATTTTTGATGCGGTGCAGATGGTGGTTTATATGCCAAAATGCAGATACAGTATGTACAACTTGATAGGTATTAGAAAGGAAGTAGCTTTTTCCTGAGACTGTGGATGAATCGCCTAATATTGTAGGTGATGGTCACGGGGAGGAAAATCCTTCTGAGACTGCACATGTTAAACTTCAGAAGAGGTGTTGGTCTTAATTGAAGTATACAGTTGTAGTCTTCAATGCAACCTCCTCCCACGGCAAGTGCTGCCTTGCCCATTCGAGCTTGTTTCTCATCCACACTCTTCTAGAAGGCAGATGGGACCACTGGGTCCTATAATCTGAGACAGGCGTAATCCCAGAGTTTACTCCCCTCCTCTTTTCTGCAGAAGGCAGAAATTTCTTTGGGATCTCAAAAAGAAAAAAGGAGGGGAAAAAAAGGGGGGGAAGTTGTTTTAAAATCAACTAAAGCTTGGGAAGAATGCAAGGAGAGCTTAGCTTGGAGTCAAGATACTGGACTGGAGTCAGGAGGACGAGCATGGTTCTCACTTCAGTCACAAAGTTGGTTTGTGTCCTCGAGTCTTACCTCATCTATCTCTTGGCTTCTCTGTCACTTGCAAATAGGAGCAGTAAAAATGTTTAGTTTCCTAGTTTTGTCTTTCTAAACAGTGACAGGGCTATTTGTCCTACACCTACACTGGGCACCTAGTGTAACCCAGCTCTTTTTTGGTCCAAGTCTCCAGGCATAACTGCAATACATACAAGATAGAAAAAATAAGCTCGGAGAGCTACACACATCCCATGCCTTGTCCAAGAACTTTTAGTCTAGACATTGCCCATTTAGACCAGTATCCTCATCCTGAAATTAGCTAGTACCTGCTGGATAAGGACAGTAAGTAAGTAAGGGAATACCCTTCTTCCTCATCTCCAACATTATAATTTATCCTGATCTCTCCATGTGAGAGACTGGCTTTAATCCTAAAACATGTGGTTTCAAATCCCTTCCAAAAAATGTTGTTGTTAATTATAGCTACTCTGGATAATCTTGTTAAACATATAATTATCCAGACCCTTTTAAAACCTCATTAATTTCTTGGCTTCAGTGGCATCATGAAACAAGGACTTCCACAATTTAATAAGTGCTCTCTGATTTTATTTAAATTTAACACTTCTTAATTTTATGGAAGGTCCCTTGTATTACATGTTTTAAAACAAAATGAGATGGTATAAGGGGAATCAAAGGTATTTATTATTTTGCATATTTGTCCTTTTAAAGGTAAGCAATTAAGATTAGCTCTCACTGCCATGGGACCCTTCAACCATGATTTCTCTGAACATCTTCTTCCCATATACAACTTCTTCAATATTTGCTTC